AATCGCACCTTGCTCCTCCTGCCCCTCCATTTATTACTGGAGATAATAACACCCCTTCTCTGAAGGAGTTGGGAGGAGGAATCAGTTGGCTATTTTAAGGTAACCAGGTCCCATTATGCCATATCTGGAAAAAAAACGGCAACAAGGGAAAAAAAAAAAAAAAAGAAAAAAAAAAAAAGAAAAAGAAAGGAAAAAAAAAAGGAAAGGAAAAATAAGAAACTACATTAGAAGGAATTTCATAATGGTGAGCTCTACTACACGGTGGGGAAATCTCTCAAGGGAAATGCAGGGAGCTTAAGCCATTTAAAATTAAACTGGGGAAAGTACTAGCAAATGCATTATGAAGAACAATCCTGTAGTGCCAGGGAGATGGACTGGAAAGCTGACAAGCTCGTCTTTGTTTTTAACTCAGCAAGGCCAAATCTTTCACTGGTGCAAATTGGTGCCGCTCTGTTTAACTCTGCCAGAGCTGTGCTTAATTTCCACCATCTGCGAGTTGGAAACCATGAATCAAGGTACTCAAGAAGAAAATGATGGAAAGAAACTCCAGTGCCTCCCAAGGAGAAGGGAGAGCAAATAGACTTTAAAAGTGACTCTGGATAATAAAATGGCTTAAGGCATTCAGGGCAGGGGGAGGGGTAGGTTTATAATGAAGAATTTCTCTGCTTTGAGTTATATCAGGAAACACGGACTTTGGGTTTACGGTCAATGAACCTTCCTCTTTTTTCATCCACCAGCATCTTTTAACACAGAGCTCTCACGCACGGAGTGTCTTTTATCGTGATTTTATCGGGTTGCTCTCGATTCACACACTGGCACAAACTGACGTTATCAGAGGTTGTGAATAAAAGTAAGACTCTGTGTTCTTTGAGGCAGGAACTGCCTTTTTGTTCCGTGTTTGTATTTGACACCAAACCCCTTGGTATTCTGCCTATAAATGGATTCTGGATGACAGTTCAGTACAAATAACATGGCTCAATATGATAATTTCAAGTAATTTTCACATTTTAAAAGAATGCTAAAAAGGTGGTTGCTATTCATCATGTTACAGACCTACATAAAACAGTTACAAACACAGGATGCTTCCTGGAATATATTTTAAGATACTGTCATTTTTGAAGTTTTTTTTTGCCGAACATCAGATACGACACTGTTCATTTTACCATTTTTATTTTGTTCTGCACCAACACGGTTCTGCCCTCTTTGCCAGAAGTTTGTAAAGGGGAGAAAAAAACCCTTTGCTTTCCAATTTTCAACCCAGGAGATACGTTTTCTGGGTATTTTTACTCCATCAGGTAGTTTTGATGGAAAGGGGAGGAGAAGGGAAGAGGGAAGCACAACAGAAATATGCACATCTCAGCTGGACCACCATAAACCCACTGCCTCAACTGAAATCAGGCTGTGAACTTGGCCAGCTGATGGGCAGGTGCATATTTGCTTCTGCTACCTCTCCTGCATGGTTTTTCCCTCTTTGTAAGGGAAAAAAAAATCAGGAAGGCGTAAGCACAGGGATATGATGTCCCAGAAAGATCTGGCAGAGCTTGTCAGTCTGTCAAGACCATTAGCCCTTGTTTTTCTTTAAAGGAGAAATCTGTTTCCTTGCAACACGTAGCCATGCCTTTGAGATATGGCCAGTTCATACAGCATTCATTTCTTTTGTATCACATTATTGCTGACTGTAATTTTTTAGCCTTTCATCTTCAAAAAAGCTTAGCAAATCCAGGCATGGAGTTCTGCCTTTGAGGCTACATGGATGGAAATCAAGGGAGAACTCGGCATTTCCAGGGAAACTAATACGTAGAAATTTTCCTTGAGTAACTGCAATTATAAATAAATCACCAACATTTTAAGATGTTCCATTATCAATAATTGAATGTGAATAAATTCCTGATTTACGCTCCTTCGTCTCTTCTCTCTGTAGTTTTCTTTCTCTGTTCCCTGCCAGAGACTGTTTACTAGATGGCTGAGCGGAAATCCAAGAATAACCTTTCTATTTATGGTGTTTCATGCATATGTATGTGTGAAGAGTTAATCTGCCTCATGCAATCGCAGCCGGGAGCTTTGAATCCCCACTAAAAGCTCTGACTGTGAACACCCAAGAGTGAAGTGAGAAAAGAGCACGAGAAAGAAGCTGGGTTCACAACTGTGCTCTGAAAGGGGTGGGACAGGGTGAAGACATCCACCTTCTCTCCTGGGGTGAAGAAGAAGAACCAAAGAGGAGGTCCAGCCATAGTTTGTCATGTTGAGCATCCCTCAGAATTTCCTTCTATGGAAAAAAAACCTCCTAGCACACACTTGGGGTTGCAGAAAATGCACTCAGGGAAAATGAGAGCTTAGCTCACCCTTTCTCCACCTCTTGTTCCGAGAAAACCATGTTGGCCATGAAAGACAGCTCTGCTTTGAGAAGTTAGTTTCAGAAGGGCACTTGTTTAATAGGAGCAGGGCTTGCTGCCTCATCTCTCCACACTTCTCTGCACACAGGTGACTCAAGCAGCTGCAGAGCTTTCCCTAAACATAACCCAGCCCTAACCTGAAGGGCCCTCCATAGAAGTGAGTCTCTATAATTCATCAAACCCTGGGGCTTCCCTGCAGAAATGCTTCCAAATGTGACAGCACGTTCTGGCTGCCGAAGTAGAGGCTCAAAAAAACTGGCTGGTCACTGGTTACTGTTAATTAAACAATAAATTTTGACTTGTGATTGTGACTTTGGCAGCAGAAGTAGCTGAAGATGCTTCTTGCCTCACTCTTCTTAGTGCAGTTGGCATGGTTGGAGATCTTGGTGAGACAGGAAAATGTACAACAGGAAAATACTAATGAGTAGCAGTGATTTCTTACGCCAGATGCCAACAGGCAAACTGAAATTACTTAAACTGGAGAAAAAAATCATACAAGCAACATGCGCCTCTCCAGCCAGGTCTGTAATGTGGGAAGGCACGTACGTGCAAACAGTGCATGTTCACATCTTGCCTTCACCGTTCCAGTCTCACTGTGATCTGCAGTGAGTCCCCCGGCTCTACAGCGTGCACAGAGCATCTGACAACGCTTCCTATCTCCCAAAAAAGGTGGGGTTTTGTGGCTGTGTGCTTTAACATCTGCCAAGCGCTTTAAGCTCAGCGTAAAAAAGTTACTGAGAAACAAACGTAAAGCTTAGATGTTGGAATTTGTTTTTTTTTTAAAGCCTTTTCTCAATCTGTCTTTCTTCGTAATTTTTTGGAAAATAAAATGGTTAAAGCCTTGCAAATAACCATGTTTCTTCACTGTGCCGTGTGCCAGCTACTCTAGGCAGATATTCAAAAATATCACATTGGTTTTAATCAAAGCCCCGAGGATGCTGACAAATTATCAGAGAGAGCAAGAGAGAAAATTGAAATCTGCCATTTAGTCGTGTCTTTGACATGTCGCTAATTAACAGATGGAGGAAAAATGAGGAAGCGCCTGCCTGAATGGATCATTTCAGTGCTAAATCAAGGGAAAAGCAAACAAACAAACAATCAAAGCCCAACCGATCGCCTACCTTATTCCGGGTCTGGGTCTGTCCGATCAGGATGAGAGCGTTGGAGGAGATGATGGATAAGCAGAAGTTGATAAGAATGACAGAGCGCTCTGAGCGAATATACCTGCAGCAAGAAAAGAGGGAAAGGGAGATCCACCCTGTTACAACTTGCGTTGAGTTACCTCTAAAAAGCATCAACCAGATGCAGGTTGCACCGGGCCAGGCTCTACAGAAGGCCACGGTAAAAGATTGCCCGTTTCCTGCAGATCATGTACGTTAAACAAAAAAGGGGAAAAAGGGAGGGGGAGAGCTTGGGTGTAGTGCTCAGCCCACAGATCTCTCCATCCTCCCCATCAATGCTGGAGTCAGGAGCATGAGTCAACAAACTAGGGGCCAGCCTGGTCCTTAGTCTGAGCGGCTCCTAGAACAGTACTGAGTGCTGTTAAGTCGTCTTCAGCTCTGCTTACTCGAAAGGGGGCTTGAAAAGGAGCTTAAAAGAAAACATACAGGCAACACATGGAAAAAGATTCCCAAAGAAGAAGAGCCACAGGCATGCTGGCAATGAAAGCAGATTACAAACGCATGCACCTTCACAACAAAGTGTTTGTGGTTCAGCATTCCCCTTTGTTTAACCTCACAACCCATCCTTGAAGTGAGAATTATTTCCAGTTTTTTTGTTGTGGTTTTTTTTTTTTTTTTCAGTGCTAAATCAAGGGAAAAGCAAACAAACAAACAATCAAAGCCCAACCGATCGCCTACCTTATTCCGGGTCTGGGTCTGTCCGATCAGGATGAGAGCGTTGGAGGAGATGATGGATAAGCAGAAGTTGATAAGAATGACAGAGCGCTCTGAGCGAATATACCTGCAGCAAGAAAAGAGGGAAAGGGAGATCCACCCTGTTACAACTTGCGTTGAGTTACCTCTAAAAAGCATCAACCAGATGCAGGTTGCACCGGGCCAGGCTCTACAGAAGGCCACGGTAAAAGATTGCCCGTTTCCTGCAGATCATGTACGTTAAACAAAAAAGGGGAAAAAGGGAGGGGGAGAGCTTGGGTGTAGTGCTCAGCCCACAGATCTCTCCATCCTCCCCATCAATGCTGGAGTCAGGAGCATGAGTCAACAAACTAGGGGCCAGCCTGGTCCTTAGTCTGAGCGGCTCCTAGAACAGTACTGAGTGCTGTTAAGTCGTCTTCAGCTCTGCTTACTCGAAAGGGGGCTTGAAAAGGAGCTTAAAAGAAAACATACAGGCAACACATGGAAAAAGATTCCCAAAGAAGAAGAGCCACAGGCATGCTGGCAATGAAAGCAGATTACAAACGCATGCACCTTCACAACAAAGTGTTTGTGGTTCAGCATTCCCCTTTGTTTAACCTCACAACCCATCCTGAAGTGAGAATTATTTCCAGTTTTTTGTTGTGGGTTGGTTTTTTTTTTTTGCCATCCCCCAGACAAAGAGGTTTAACACTTCTCAAAACTAGGCCAAATATATAACTGCACCTGTGGGTCTGGGACATTAAGGATCCGAGTTAGGAAGCTGTTGCCTTCAGCACCTGGCAGGAGCAAGCTATTCATCATTTCTGATTTGCAAGGTGCAGCACAGCACCAACTTGCTGCTGAGGTATGTGTACGACAATTAATTCAAAGCACTGGCTACGGGGGAAAATTTCTTTGAAGGCACTTTTATGTACCTAATAAAATTAAAAGGGAACTGCAAAAATGTGAGTCTTCAAGGATTGACTCTGGACCTGACCATCCAACACTCACACACGTGAATAATCTCAGTGATTCGGCAAGTGCCCTGCCTGAATACCAGACGAATACAGAGCAGACTGGGATGCTTACAGAAATTAGAAACAGATCTATTAATCAACCAGCTCATCCCTGGAGGCTAATGCAGGATTATTTCCTATATTCCAGAACATCAACTATTTATATTGGGAATTTAATTTTATTAACTAATTTTAGCAAAGTGAGAATTATTTCCAGTTTTTTTGTTGTGGTTTTTTTTTTTTTTTCCATTCCCCAGACAAAGAGGTTTAACACTTCTCAAAACTAGGCCAAATATATAACTGCACCTGTGGGTCTGGGACATTAAGGATCCGAGTTAGGAAGCTGTTGCCTTCAGCAGCTGGCAGGAGCGAGTTATTCATCATTTCTGATTTGCAAGGTGCAGCACAGCACCAACTTGCTGCTGAGGTACGTGTGCGGCAATTAATTCAAAGCACTGGCTATGGGGGAAAATTTCTTTGAAGGCACTTTTATGTACCTAATAAAATTAAAAGGGAACTGCAAAAGCGCGAGTCTTCAAGGATTGACTCTGGACCTGACCATCCAACACTCACACACGTGAATAATCTCAGTGATTCGGCAAGTGCCCTGCCTGAATACCAGACGAATACAGAGCAGACTGGGATGCTTACAGAAATTAGAAACAGATCTATTAATCAACCAGCTCATCCCTGGAGGCTAATGCAGGATTATTTCCTATATTCCAGAACATCAACTATTTATATTGGGAATTTAATTTTATTAACTAATTTTAGCAAGAGTGAGTTGGTCATGCTTTGGCTGCAGATTTTTGAGTTTCTGACTGGGTGGGCAGGACAAGTTTATTGTATGTTTAACCTGAGCTTTAGACCTGCTGAAGGCTGAAAAACTTTGATTTTAACTTCCTTTTGAGTTTTACCTTCAGACAAACATGAACATTGAGGATATGCATTCCTGGATACAAAAAAAAAAAGTAACTGATGCAAAGTTGTCTGAATTTTTACTGAATCTGTTGGAAATCTGGTTTATAGTTGCTCCCTCTGAAACTCACTCAGCCCCATGAGAGACTACAAAATTCAGGCTTCTAGCTCAGCTAGAAACTGCCTTGACTGCCTGCAAAATGAGTATTTGTTTCCTTTCACGGTCAATTTGATCCCAAATGTTCCCGTTTTATTGGGCTCAATACAAAGCCGTGGATCACCTGGATCCTGTTCCATTTGTGTCTGTAGGGTACTGAGCCATCAATCTGTCTAAAATTGAATGAAGCAAAATATTAAATCTCAAGTCAGCAACTTCTGGGAAACAGAAAGGGAGATTTGGACTCTGTCCTGGTGGGAATGGGATGTGATAAGTCTGCGTAGCAACACTATGATCCAACTGACGGTAGTGTGCACTTTGAAAGTCTCCTCTGGTCAAAAAAGTTAAGCAATGAGTTGACCATAAGTATAGTCTGTATGTGAATGTAACGGAAAATAATCCAGTTGTCTTCAGACTTTTTCCACCCCTAAATAAACCTCTCCTTTTCCACGCTTTCCTTCACACACCAAGACTCCATCCTCTTCCCCAGATCCTTGAGCCACCAAATGACATGCAGAATCACAGAATCCAAATAATTTTGGTTGGGGAAAAACCTCTTGAGTTCCCAGTCCAAACCTCCACCCAAAAAAGGGCTAATTTCAAAGTCAGATTCGGTTTCTCAGGGTCTTGTCCGAACAAGTTTTAAAAATCACCAAGAGCAGAAATGCCACCACCTCTCTTCAATGACTTGTTGCAGCTGTTAACTCCTTTCACAGTAAAGGTTTATTTTTCTTTATATCCAGTATTTTTTCCTGCTGCAGCTGGTGCCTCTAGACCTTTTCCTGTACACCTCTGCAAGTTGGTTGGCTTCTCCATGAGTCCTCCTTAACAGCCTTCTCTTCTCCAAGCTAATCAAGCCGTGTTCCCTTTGCCTCCTTTTACATCATGTTTTCCAGCTCCCTAAGCATCCACTGGGCTTGCTCCAATGTGCTTATGTCTCTTGTATTGGAGGAGTCCAATCATGGGCACACTCTTGAGGTGTGGCTTCAAGAGTGTCAAGCATCAATTCCCTTGACTTGCTGGCTACATTCTTGCTTATATTGCCCAATATCATCTTGGCCTTCATTGCCACACAGGTACAATGCCGGTTCATGTCCAAATCATTGCATGTAGGGCCTTCCCTGTAGAGGCATTGCCAAGCCAATCAGTTCCCAGCCCATCCTACTCCACATGGTTATTGTGTCCCAGAGGCAGGACTGTGCATTTGTCCATTTCTCCAGCCCATATCTCCAGTTTGTTGAGCTCCTCTGAATGGCAGCGCTGCTCTCCAGCATGTCAGTCACTCTTCCCAATTTGGTGTCATCCACAAACCTGCTGAAGGTGCATTCTGCCCACCTTGTCCAGGTTGTCAAAGAAGACATTAAACAATATTGGCCCTGGCATCAACCCCTGACAGATGCAACTAATAACCAGCTGCTGGCTAGGCTTCAAAACTTTGATCACTATCCTTTAAACACACACAAACTTCACCTAGCTAGCAGCCCACCTTAGAAATCATCAATCCAGCCCACAGTCCCCTGGTCTGGATACAAAGATGCTATGGGAGACTGGGATAAAATCCTTGGTAATGTCAAAATATACAACACCCATTTCTCTCCACTGTCCGTGTAACCAGTCATCCCACCTCAAAAGGCAAACAGGTCAGCCAGGCGCAATCTGCCCTCAATAAATCTGTGCTGTCTATTCCCAATCATTTCCTTGTCCATCATTTTACCTGGAAATAACCTTTAGAACTACCTGTGCCTTAATCTTCCCAGGGGCTGAGAGTAAGCTGACCAGCCAGTAGTTCTCTGGATCCTCCTCCTTGCCCTTTTAAAAGATGGCTGTAACATTTGCGTTTTTCCAGACATCAGGAATCTCCCCAGATGATAGAAAGTGACTCCAGGGTAACATCACCCCACTCCTTTAACACCTTTGATGTATCCCATTCAGTCCCATGGACATGCAAATGTCCAGCTTACATAAATGTTCCTCATCTCTCTCTTTCTTGGTGGGGAGTAGTATTTTCTTCCCCAGACTCTGCCACTAGGAAGAGGAACTTGGGTGCCTGAGAGCAGAGCAAGACAGCAAAGGCACTGAGTACCTTCACCTTATCTGTTTCCTTCTCCATTAGGCTACTTGCATCATTCAACACTGGGCCAACACTTTCCTGAGTAGCCCTTTGGTGCTGATGTACCTACAGAAACCCTTACTGATGCTTTTCACATCCTTTACCAGTTTCAATTCCACCTCAAGTCTGACCTTCACTCCTGGACAATGCTTCCATAGTCCTCCTTGGTAGCCTGACCTAGTTACCAAACATTCGCTCGTTGTTTTCCAGCTCAATCAGAAGTTCTCTGTTATGTTAAGGTAGCCTCCTGCCTTGCTTGCTTTTTTCCTTCCTTTTTCTCTTCTCCAGCACAGGATGGTCGACAGAAAGAAATCAACACTAGTACTCACACCCTCTGGCCAAAGAAGTCAGGAACTCATAACAGAGAGAAAAAACACAGGTCTTGATGGTTTTTGCTAGAAGAGAGATTTCCAGTGAAGGCAGAGCCACTCCAGGGTGCTGTCTCACTACCCCGAGGTGTTACTTGGACTCTGGCAACTTATCAAAATATGTTTTGCTCAGCCACTAAAACAGGCGAAAACTCTCACTGCAAATTTAGGGAACTTCTGCTCTGGCCTGGGTCCTGCAGGATGTGGGGAAGCCCCATGCAAACCGAGACAGATGGTGAAGGTGGGAAAACCCTGCAGTCTGTCTCTCTGTCCCCATTACGCTTCCTTCCTCTCTGCAAACGCTGAATCACTCTTGCTTTCTCACTGCTTTTACACACATCCTGCTCCACGCAATCACTTACTCATTCCTGCTACCTCCCACCAGGGCCACCGAGAGCCTCAGCATCTCCGGCAGAGGCAGAGCTCCTGGGTTTAAAGCAAGTGTTAAAAGCCCCTTGAGAGCTCATTGACAACCACTAGATCAATCTTCAGGCTCCGATGGGCAGGGAGCGAGAAAAGCTCACACTGATATCTTTCAGT